TGGGCGTGGTCGGGCGAATTGAGGTACCAGCGTCGGTATTTGTGCTGGACTCGGTGTTCAGCTGGTGGAGCGCGCGCCTGCAACAGTCGAGCGTACACTGTGGATTGGAAGCTGGATCGTATGCGGTCCCAGTCCTTCTCTGTGTAAGGGGTGGTGCGGGTCGGCGCCGCGCTTCCGTACAGGTCGGGAGGCGTCCCCAAGAGTGCCCCCTGGTCCGAGAAATTCTTGTTCAAGCGGAGGTGGTACGAATGTCGAATCCATTGGTCCCACATGGATCGTTCCTGTAAGCGGTCGGTGGCCCCTAAGAGGGATCGGAGGAACCGGGTGCGTCGATGGAAGGTGCAACGGTGGTTTTTGCCGTCGGGAAGGTGGTGGGGAGGGTCGGCCAGCGTCGGGGGGTGCGCTCCGTCCCCCGCAACGCGGAAATCCAATGGGGTGCCTGGTTCGGCGGGGTGGTCACCACAAGCTGTGTCCCAAAGTCGTACGCGTATTTGTGCTGCTTGAACAGTGAGCCGGAGCCGTCGGAAAGCACTTGGGACGTGGAAACACTGGTGCAACCACCAGAGGTCTTCGGCAGTGGCCCAATTACCTGGGCCTGGGGAGGCCCGTCTGAGGCACTGTAGTTCCACCTTGAGCATGGTTTCTGTCGGTTCGCTGATTTGGGCCGCAATCCCTAATACTGATATCGCAAACGTGTCATATGCCAGTGCTGCACAATGAAGCCCAAGTGGGTGGCTTGCCCAAAGAGCGGCCCGTTGCTGGAATTTCGCCTCTCCCCCCCCTTCCAAAGCAAGTCCCGGCTGCCAGGTCCGACGTAGAAATCCAAGTATTTCCCTGCATGTGCTAATTGGGTGGAGGACCAGCCCGGCGCTAGTGCGTCGAGGTGAGCCCGCACCGTCGGGAGTGGCGAAGCGAACAACGGAATGACGACCGTTTTCTGCAAGTTGAGTCGGAGCCCAGTCGCTGCTGCGAAGTCGTCGAATAAGGCTGTCAGTTTGGGTGCGTCTGCCCAGATGTTTGTAGAAACGACCGCGGTGTCATCGGCGTAAGCACGAGCCAATGTGCCTGGGCACGTCGCCTGGATCTTGTCCAACAAGAACTCCGCACAAATAGCGTACAATAGAGGGGACAGTGGGCATCCCTGCCGGACGCCTGCCATCAACGGGAAACCTGGGAGCGTCTGACCCAAGCTGACAATTTGGCACCGGTTGTTGTCGTACAAGTGCCTCACCAAATTCCGGGCCGATGCTGGCAAGTCCAGATGGCGCAACATGTCGTGCAGATACTCCTGCGAAAGCGATGGGAATGCGGACGCGAAGTCGAAAAGCACGATTGCGCCAGAGTCGGATTGGAGCGCGGTGGCCATGCTGGCAAAATCGACGTCGAGCACGTTTTTCAACAGGGACAGGTGTCGTAGGAAGCCTTGCTGCGAAGGGCCTACCCACGCATTGAGTACTGGTTCCCAACGTCGGCGGGCCGCGTTCGCTATGATCTGGTTGTCGGTGTTCACGATGGACAACGGGCATGTGCTGTCCGCTGTGTAAGCATCTCCGTCAATAGGCTCGCAGGTCAGCTTCTTCTTTCCTAGACACACGAGGGTTCCCAAATTGAAATCGTGGCCCTCTGGCTCGTTGTCGCCGTTCAGCTCGCGGAGGTACGTCTCCCCAGAGTCGCTCTGTAGGGCGCCGGCGGCCTCCCAAAGGGCTCTGACGGCGAGCTGGCCGCCACACCGCCAAGCGAGGTATGTTATCCTGTCTGGGCCTGGCATGCTGCTTCCAGAATGTTTTACCGCGGACTCCACGTCTCGCTCCCGCAATGCCCATTTGCCTGGGTTTGTGTCCAAGGGGGGCCGGGAGTGGTGTCGGCGCGGGCGGCCTTGGCGTGGGCGTGGATGTGTGGGTTGCGAAAGTGAATGTCGGTCAGAGAGGGGCGCGGGGCAGGGGGGCGATTGGGCTGTCGTTGCAGAACTGCTCGTGGCAGCGTCTGAGGGGGTCGCTGGGGTCGGCAAGAATTGCGGGAGGGATGCGATCCACTGCTCCAGGATGTGAGGATTGATTGGCTGTTGTGTGAATACTCGGCTCCATTGCTTCCCAAGTTCCTGGGCGATGTCTTGGGGCGTGTGAGCCAGAGTGCCGTCGGGGGTCTGGATGGCGCCAATGGCGGTGTTGGAGCCTGGCTGCAGGCGTCGGAGTTTCGTGAGTATGTGCGCTTTGCGTTGTTGGTAATCCCCCGAATTGACGTCGGCCTCCTGACGCTGTAACTCGACCAAGTCTGTCGTGACCGCGTTGTGGGCGAGGTCCATCGCGTGTTGTCGGACTGACTGAAGCCGCGGTGAGAGACGGGCGTTCGGGTCAGCGCGCGGGGCAATCGTGGCAAGGTGAGAGTAAGCCGTCAAGCATTTTTGGAGGATGTCTCAGGCGAAATCGTCACAGTTGACATAAAACGTCTTAAACGAGAACTCCCAATATCCCGATTTTGTTAGGATGTCTCAAGCGAAACGCTCACTTTGGGAACCTTTCTTGACATGAGCGGGAAGCGCGCGAAATCAAAGAGCTTGGCGAGAACGTGCACCAACATCAAGTTCGCATGTCGCGTAGGCGCTCTTCCCGAACGTCCACAGGGGATACCAGGTGGACTTCGCTATCCGCGCAAGTTCAGACGTGCCGCTGACCCCGAACGTCCGCAAAAAGAACCAGATGGACTGGGCGATCCGCGCAAATTCCGACGTGCCGCTCACCCCGAACGTCCACAAAGGATACCAAAACGTAACTCACCATCCGCGCAATTTCAATCACCGCTCACCGCGAACCTCCACAAAAGATACCAGGTGGAGTTCACTACCCGCGCGAGTTTAGACGTCGCGCTGACCCCGAACGCCCACAACAAATATCAGGTGAAATTCACTACCCGCGCGAGTTCAGAAATGTTGGGAAGATGTCTCGAGCGAAACGCTTTTTTTGAAAAGAATTGTTGATCACCCATGGGTTTTTCAATAATTTCGCCTTCGAGGACCCGTCCGAAAGCAATCTTTGGAGGATGTCTCGAGCAAAACGCTATTTGTTTAACAACACCGTTAAACACCCATGGGTTTTCCAATGCTTTCGCTTCTTGGGCCATCTTGGAGGTCATCCGAGATCGCTGCGAAAAGATGCCTTACAAGAGCTCTTGGCGCCTCCCATGTGTTCGAGGATGTCTCAGGCGAAACACTCATATCCGAGGATCCAAAAATTAGGCGAGCGATTTCAACATCTCCATGTTTAGAAGATGTCTCGGGCGAAACGCCCATGTTTAGCAAACCCCGTCTTAAGATACGACCCCCCAACTTCACGATTTGGCGAGGATGCCTCGCGCGAAACGCTCGTTTTTTTCAAAACCTTTCTTGACATGAACGGGAAGCGCGTGAAATCAAAGAGCTTGGCACGAACGTGCACCAACATCAAGTTCGCATGTCGTGTAGGCGCTCTCGATCCTCGTGATAGGTGTGCCGAAATGGGCGGGGGGACGCATGCAAACCCTGGGGCTCCCTATGGGGCCGCGATCCTGGTAAGGGGTGTGCCGAAACGGGCGGGGGGACGCATGCAAACCCTGCCGCTGGGGCCTTCGGTGGAGCTCCATATGGGGCTATGACCCTCGTGAGGGGTGCGCCGAACTGGGCGGGGGACGCATGCAGACCCTGCCGAAGGGGCCTTTGGTGGAGCCCCTATGGGGCCGCGATCCTCGTGAGGGGTGTGCCGAACTGGGCGGGGGGACGCATGCAAACCCTGCCGCTGGGGCCTTCGGTGGAGCTCCCTACGGGGCCACGGAACGTGTGAGGGGTGCGCCGAGATTGGCGTGCGAGAAAACAGAGGCAGGGAGGGGAGGAGGGAGAGGAGCGCGGGAGGTGAGGTGAGGTGAGACGCAGGGCGCTGTCTCTTCAAAACGAGGACCCAACACCACAGGATGGTTGAGACAAAAAACAAACGACAGGTAAACCATACTGAAACTCACGCTCGTACCAGCAGCTGGGACAACCTTTTGCTTCGCATAACCAACAGAGGACATCATCCGCAGTTACAGACAGCGGCCAAACGCAGGGGCTGCGTGCGCCGCGCAGGTGCGTGAAGTCGAAGACGGGGCCGTCGAAAGAATCAGACATCGAGGTTCGCGGCGGACCTCGGAGGCCTGTCGCGGCTGCTGCTGCCTCGTGGACGCCGCCGTTCGGTGCGACAATCTTGTCACCCACCTCGGCGAAAATGCCGCCTGGAACGCATCCTGGCGGGGCTCATCGCGGGTTCCTGTCGTGCCGACCCCGGCGTTGGTTCCTGACACCGCGGGGATCGTTCAACTCTGAACGATCGGCCGTTTGCGGAACGTCAGATCGTTCAGCGTCGACGTGCACTCTTGCAGCAAATCATGCGGGGATGTATCGCAATCATGCGCTGCGACACGGCAACGATGCTCCGAACAATCGAGATACAAGGCAAGTGTGATAAAAAACAGTGCGATACAAACAACTCCGATCAAGTGTGACAAAGCAGAACTCCAAACACTTTTGTCATCACACTTGTTTATCACACCTGTGACACGTCAGGTCGTTCAGCGTCGACCGATCCGTGGTCACTGGCGGCCTTCAAAGTTGGATGCCGGCGGCGGGCGCCGCTGTGGCGCTGCTGCGGCGCTGCCCAGCCGCAGCCCCGGGCGGTCGCTCTGCAGGACGGGCCGCGCGGCCCACGCCGCGCCGGGCGAGGGCCGTCAGCGGTGCTGCAAGCGCCAGGGAGCCCCCTGCGCGTGGCTCCCGGCGGAGGCGCGACGGGGGCACCAGGGAACAGGACTGTCCTGTCCGCCTAGGCTGGTAAAGGCTCGCTGAAGCAGAACGGCGTGGGCCAAAGTGGCCACGGAGGACGAGGGGGACGAAGATGATGAGGACGACGAGAATGGCGAGGATGAGGCTGACGAGGAGTATGAGGACGATGTTGAAGAGCAGGAGGGAGCCCTCGGACCCTCCACCTAGGCCCTCCAACCTTCGCGCTGGCGGCGTTATGCGCCGAGAGCTTCTCGAGGGTGGCGCGCAGCTCCTCGTCGGTGCAGTAGCACCTCCCCCAGAGATGACGGCTCCCCTCCCCCACTCCCCCTCGCATCCCCTCCGCCCTCCCCCTCCTCCCGCTCCCCCGCCCCCACCCTCGTCCACACCATCTTCCCCGCTCCTCCTCCCGCTCCCCCGTCCCTCCCCCTCATCACTCGACCTCCCCAGGCCTCTCCCCTCACCCTCCTGCCCTTCATCTCTGCGAGACGTGGCGCTGGTGGCTCACCCACTGGGCCCTGGGAGCCTCCACACGGGAAGCACTCCGACAAAAAAAAAGCTCGGCAAAGCACCCCAGACCACGCAATACGGCCTCCCATTTTTTAGCCCGTCCAAAGCGCCCTGTCGCGTCGCTCTTGTCGTCGACGAGCCGCTGGAAGAATGCAACGTCTCTGGTCAGGGCGTCGTCCTTGCTCGCCTTCAGGCTGCCTCCTCTGAAGCCGATGCGCTCGGCGAAGGCGTGCATCTCCCACTGGCTGAGCACACCGTCCTGCGAGCGGCTGGAAATCATCCCCAGACTCCGACTGTGATCTCTTGAGTGAGCTATTCCCTCCCCTTCCCCAATTCTCTCCCCCCCCATCGTCGCTTCATCCTTTCCCCTTCCCCGTTCCCTCTCTCCCAGAATGTGTTGTTTCCTCATTTCCCCGTTAACCGCACTACTCCCGTTCCTGTCCCTTCCTGTCCCTTCCCTTTCCCCGTCTCTCATTCGCCCCCACTGCCCCGTTGTTTTGTCCCTCTTCCCCCCCTATGGTAAAGCGCATGTGCTGCAAAAGCGTATGTCCTAACCTGTCAGCTGGGAATCGGGGATGCAAATCTAAAGCAATGCCCACGTCGTTATCCTCCCTGCCCCCTTCTTCCTTACGGCACAAAGCGGAGCCCCGCTAGTCATATTGTATCTGCATGTGTGTGTGTGTGTGTGTGTGTGCACTCACCGCCTACCCTGGCAACCGTCCTCACTCTAAACTCGTCAGTGCGTCTGTCTACCATAACACTTTCAAATGGCCTAGCTCATCATCCAATGCCAGGGCTGCGAAGGATGCCTTGGCACTGGGCAACTAGACTCCTCCTACTGCCAGAATATACCTCCTCCCTCCCCCTCTCTCTTCCCTCCCACCCGTCCCCCTCCCTCTGAGGAGGAGGAGGAGGAGGAGGAGGAGGAGGAAGGCCCGAAAGCCTGGTGGTCCGCCGGCGCGGCGTGGCACCGCAAAACTGTCCCGCGCGAGCGCAACAGCAGAAGGAACCCGGAGCCTGGCGGCCCCTTTGAAATTCCTTCTGGGTCAATCTGCGCTTCCCCCACTATCTCCTCCCCCCCGCCCCAAGGAATCTGGCCAACCGGGAACAGTTTCTTGACCGACACCCCAAACGTAGCCGTGTCCCTCTTCGCGGACTGCTCTGTCTCTCTCTCTCTCTCTTTCTCTCTCTCTTATCTCTGTCATTCTCTGGGGCTGCATAGTGATTGCCTGATATGATACGATCTCGTTTTGCTCATCCTCTCGGGGTATGTGCCCGCGTGTGTGAATTGTACGTCGGACGGTACCTAAACAACGAACTGGAGAGCAACGGCAATGGAACGAACCTCGCGCGACACCGCAGGCACAGCGCAAGCAAAACAGCAAACTGCGATCTAAATCAATCGAAAGGGCCATACCAATAAGCTCTTATAAACCGCAACGCGATTCTGACGACAATGACATTAACGAGTACAAGTAAGCGGACCATTCCCCATCGTCAAATTCGATATCAAACGCCTCGTTGTCACATTTACGTATGCAATTGGAACAGGCAAAGTGGACAAATACCGGGGCACCGTTGCGCCCAGTCACACGGACTGCTCGCATCCTTGAGTTGCTGTTCTTGCCGTCGCCCTTCAACGGCTCGTCGTGGCTGCCTTTGCCGTTGCCTTTGCCGCTGTCTTTACCCTTGCCTTTCTTTTCCATCTCAACCTCGAACTCCACAATCTCAGACATTCCGAATGACGGAGTCGAATCTTTTGGGGCTGGTGCTACAATGCCCGTGTAATGCACAAATATGTCGTCGCCCGATGGATTGGGAGTGATGAAGCCGTATCCCTTCGCAACATTCCAAAACTTCACTCTGCCGACCAGACGACCTCCCTGAGATTCGTCCTCGGGCTTGTCTTCACATGCCTCCGCAGTGGACGACGCAGCCTGTAGAAACGCTCATGCGGCCAGCCTGGCCGCCTGAAACCCTGGCTCACCTTGACCTTCGCTCCCATTGCAATAGCGGAAGAGGGCGGATTTCTCACACCAATTCTTTGCTAAGCTTACGCCCAAGGCATCGGCGAACCCCTTTGAGATGCCAAGATTTCTCTCAAGGTATTTGCCGAACGCCCAGAGGACATCAGCCGCTCGCATCCCGCGGCCCCCAAGAGCAGCTTCTTTGATTACCTGGCTCATAAGAATTTCCTCATCTTCTAGATC